CTCGCGCCGTCCGAGCGGCTGGATTGACTGTGCGCCTTCCGGAAGCGGCCGGGAGGCTGGCGGTGCGCGCGGGCTTCTGTGGTTCCGGAGCTCTCGGCCGCGCGCTGCGGGCTTTCGAGCGCCCTTCCGTCTTGGCGTGGACTGGGCGGCGGCGCCCTCTGTCACAGCTGGATCCCATCCCTGCCCCAGAGCATGGACGGATGGCTGCGTTTCAGATGAACCCAAGTGCTTTGCTCCCAAAGCGCTTGGTAATCTTTATTCACGGTTTTATAGTTGTTTAGGGACCCGGATGAGGGACTGCGGGCGGAGCTCAGCTCGATACCCAGCAAGTGAAACAAGGAAGCGCCTGGGCTCCTGCCCCACCTTTCCCTGACCTGGGCCCTCCTGGTGCCAGTCTTTCGCCATACACGAGGAACGGGCGTGCACACTTCACAGGGCCAGTCCTGGCAGGAGGGCCGGGTCCGCCTGCTGCATATGTTAGGCCGGCGTGCTTATTGACACTAAGGAATTCAGGGCCCTTGGCTCCATGACATCAGTTTCCCTACCTCTCTCTTTGCCATAATATTATACTGTACTTCCCTACCATAAACCCTGAATAGCCGGGCTGGTGGCGCACGCCTGTAATCCCAGCGCTCGGGAGGCTGAGGCAAAAGGATCACAGTGAGTTCAAGGCCAGCCTGGGCTACATAGCTAGACTCTGTCTCAGAAACGAAAGCAAACACCCAACTTTAAATAGGTTATGTAAGCTATGGTTAAATATGTAATCGAAACCAGAGGTCTAAAGTCACAGTAATATTTCCTTAGAAATTTTAAGGGCCGGGCATGTAGCTCAGCGGCACAGCGCCTTGCTTGGCAAGCACAAGGTCCTGAGTTCGATTCCCGGTACCAAAAAAAAAAAAACTTTGAGAAGATTAATATCCAAGTTTCCCCCACCCCCAGTACAGGGGCTGAACCCAGGCAATCCCCATGCTAGGCAAAAACTCTACTACCACTGAGGTGCATCCCAGCCTTTTATATTTTGTTTTGAGATAATTTCTCACTAAATTACTAAGGATAGCCTCAGCCTCTGGAGTATTACTGATTGTGTTCTGTCTGTGATACTTTGTTATTAGAGAAAGGCTATACATTCTGGTTTCTCTACAAATTGTATAAATCTTTCGCCCTTTATAGAAAGGCTAAGACAAGTGGAGTGAAAGTCCTCTTTCTGTACTAGAACTGTTTGGCATCATGGCTAGTTCACTGAGAAAGGCTAAAATCCACCTGCTTTTCACTACTCTTCTGGTATTCTTTTTGATTGTAAGAGGTTTATCAAATCCAGGCATAGTGGTGCATGCCTGTAATCCCAGCACTCTGGCGGATGAGGTAGGAGGATTGCCACAGGTTCAAAGCCAGCCTGGGCTACATATCAAAACCCTGTGTTAAAAAAAGAAAAGAAAAGAAAAGAAAAGAAAACAAAGAAAAAATGGCAAAGCATTCTATTGAGGTTGCCAAGCTTCATGGGCAACCAATTTTTTTTTTTTTTTTTTGCACATACTAAACAAGGTATCTTGGCACGTGACAAGATAATAAGCTCTCACTACTTACATAAAAGCTTATGTAGATGACTCTTAGCTGTGTTCCTACCACATAAGTCCTCCACAAATGTTTTAATAAATCCTCAAAATCTCCCTGTAAAGTAGTTCAGAGTGTAGTAGAAACCCAGGAAGGGCGAAGACCAAGCCACCTCACAATAGCCATTTTTGTGTAAAGATTATTTTGGGTTAAAGTCACTTGAAAAAAGTGACTGCCGCGTCCAGTGTGGCTCTTGAAACTCCGCAGAGAGGACGGTGAAGGTTGAAGAAAAGAAAGCAAAAGTCAAGATGCAGAAAGCTGAGGTCAGGTGGAGCCCCTCTTCTGATGGGAGAAAGGACTGCCCATTTATGCAATCAGCATAGGAGGCTGTTTACAGAGAATTTAAAGGGAGGGTAAGATTCGGAACAGGAAGAACATCCAATTTCCACCTTGGTGGTTACACAAGGAACAAGAAGGGAAGTGTCTATGTTACCTCAGGGGAGGCCAGGGCGCTTTGTATGTCAGCTCCCTGAGCTGCATACACTTCTCCTGGGGCCCTGCCAAACTCATGAGAATCAGTGACTTGTCCCGAGATACAGACAGCTTTGCTCCCAACATGTAACCTCCCTTTTCTTATGGAAAGCAAACAATAAACCAACTGTGATAGTACATGCCCGTGGGCTGGGGATTGAGCTCAGCGGCGCAGTGCCTGCCTGGTAAGCACAAGGTCGTGAGTTCGATTCCCGGTACCAGGGGGAGGGGGGAACAAAACAAAACAAAAAGATAGTACATGCCCATAATCCCAGCACTCAGGAGGCTGAGGCAGGAGAATCACTGAAAGTTTGAGGCCAGCCTGGGCTACATAGTGAAACCCTGTCTGAAGAAAGAGACAGAGACAGAGAAGAGAGAAAGAAAAAAACAAAGAGAGAAAAAAAGGAAGAAAAGAGGAAAGGGAGGAAGAAAGAAACATGTGAATGACTTCCTTCCTGTGCCAAAAGGAAAGAAGGATCACCAAAGATGGGGAGCAGAAGTGGAAGGGGGCCCGGGATATAGCTTAGCAGCACAAGCACTTGCCTGGCAAGCACAACGTCCTGAGTTCGATTCCTGATACCAAAAAAAAAGAAGTGGAGAGAAACCTGATCTTCCTCCCCATATCTTTTAGTTGCTTTTCCATAATTGTTTTTCTTTTTTTCAACCTAGTATAAAAGCATCTAGGTTTTGCTGTTTCTTTGGGGTGTTTATTTCCTAATGAAGCCTCCTGTGTTACATAAAACCTTTCAAAATCGGTGTATCTTTCTCCTGTTAATCTGTTTCATGTCAATTTAATTCTCAGACCCAGACAAAGACCCCTACCTTGTCTCCCCTATGCCTCCTTATCTGACCTAATCAGAGCGAACTATTTTATTTCAACTTAAAGTATATTTATTTACTCCCTGTCAAAGTGGAGCCACGGTCTTTTCTCTTACATAAACCTCACCAGTTACAAATCATCGGCATTTCAGTCTGCTTCTTTAAAGTGAATCAACTGTGGCATGTTTGGAACAATGTGAATGTGTAATCCAGCTAGAATCTTACGATTTTCCTCCAATTTGTAATCTTGCTCACATGTCATTCAATATTAGCTTTTAAAAGTGACTCACTTTAATCAGGTATTTTAAGGATCCATCTCAGCTTTTAGAAACAGTGCTTGTTTTCACACTTAGCTCATCCACTTATATAATATTTAACTAAATTCCACCTTATAATAATGCACACAACCAGCATGAGCACACGTGAGACATCACAACAGCCTGCTAAGCAAGGCTTGGCCAGGGGAGGGAGGTGCAGTTCAGGACAGAAGGTATATGCTGCTGGGTTTGAAGCTTCTCCACCTACTTTGTGTGTGACTTGGAATTGAAACCACTGAGCCCCTCTGAGCTTCTTTTGCTTAACCATGAAAGGGGATAACAACAGTGCCTCTGAAGCTTGGGAGAAGGAAATCTTTGTAAGACTGCAGTATATGGGGCTTGCGCTAAATGTTCAACAAATGCTCTGTCATTGTTGCTTGCCTTGGCATTCGTCATTGTCCTATAGGCTACAAGCCTGAGAAAGTGGAGTGCAGGGGTTGGTTAAGATGTCTTCTGTAAACTGGTGGTGCACGGCTGTAATTCCCCCACACTCTGGGAGGCTGAGGCAGCAGGATTGCAAGTTCAAGCCTAGCCTGGGCAACTTACTGACTTAGCGAAGATGTCTTCTTTAGCACTACATCTCCACTTCCCATAAGTAAAGGTAACCTTCTGCAGAAAGTCAGTGACTCCAGAGTCACCAGGTCACCTAACCATGAAGTCATCGTTTTAGAACTGCCAAAGGCCATAGCAATCATGAGGTTTGGATCCAGAAAGAAAAAGGGAAATTCACCATCCTTTTCCCTTTTGCTCAGTGAGTCCCAAATTCCTGATGAGGAGCAAAGAGACCCTCTCAGGCTGAGACAGCATCGCTTGCTCCTCCTGCATGGGAGCCCACTCACTGACCATGCTGTGTTCCCCGCATCCATGCAGGGTCAGAAGCCTGGGAAGCAGCTCCAACCCCAAGTCCTGCTTGAAGCATCCAGGTCATGTGATTGCACAGAAGCCAGACTGGGTAACTCTCCTCAAAGGGCTGCTACTGAAGGCTTCCCTGGGCCGCCTGGATGACCTGAGGAGGCAGGGAGGGGCTCGCCGGCAGGGCACTTGGGAAAGAGCGGGAGGCTGAGTCCCTGGTTCCAGCCTCCTGTGCCCTCCCTGGCCCTCACTTCTGCAGGTGGACTCTGGGGCAGGAGGGAAGGCACTCTGGGCCCCCTCCTCCCGCAGGGCTTTGCCCTTCCCTGAGGCCTGCACTGGGGGATGCAGGAGGCAGGCCAGGCCACGGGCCTCCAAACCTGGGCTGCAGCTGCTCAGACTGCTGAAGGGCAAAGACAAAGGGCTCAGGAGCCTGTACCCGAGCGCCAGATCACATCTCCGACTTTAACACTGGCTGTGCCCTATTAAGACCATCTCAAGCCACATCCTCTTCCACTTCCTCTGTCCTTCCTTCAGAGGCTCACCTGTTACCTTTGGGGCCACTGTGCACCAGGACGTGGGGGTATCCCACTCTGGAGGGGCCTGCACCTCCAAATGGAAGATGGTCTGTGTGTCCTGGACCTGGAAGAACAGGGCCACATACATTCATCACAGGTCTCCCCACACTAAGGACCATCATGGTGGGAAAGAGAAAGCTCTAGGAGAGGAACAAGGTGATAAGTGTCAGGGGACATGTTAGCGCTGCACGTGGGGGGCGCCCCAACGACTGTGCCCATCACCGGGCAGGTGCTCAGTAAACATGAGCTGACCGGAAGGTCTCACTCACTGGCCTGGGAGGACGCACACTGCAGAGAAGACCCTGGTAAGTTCAAGTCAGCTGAACAAGTAGCAGGGAACTCACTCTGCTCCCAGGGCTGGCAGCCTTGGAGGGAGTCTAGTGAGCGGTGAGCTGGGATAAGAAAAGCACCCCGCGAAACACTGGCAGGTAAGAGGCTCTTAACAAACCTTAGTGCTCCGTGACACAAAGTTGGACAAGTTAGGAAAGCGGTGGAAGCACTGAGGAAGGGGCAAATCTGGCAAGTGTTCAGGGGAAAACAGGCCCCAGCGTGGAGAGGAGACAGAGGAGGGCTGTACCAGGGATTGGCAGTGTGGACAGCCAGGGCCAGGGTGGCTCGAGGGCAGACCTAGGGCAGGAGGACCAGGCAGGTGGGAAGAGAGTTCCACTAGTGGGGAGGCAGGCACAGCCCCGGCAGCCCACTTCCACTCACGCTGCTGTTGCTGAGACCCAGATGTCACAGGAACATTCACTGACCCCACTTCTTTCTCTTGGTGGCCCTCCTCAAACTCTCTATCTTCCCATCCACTGAGAGATCTGCAGGGCAGGGAACCGGGGCACAGCCCAGCACTGGGGCACCCTGGCCAGGTTTGCTCCTCCCTGGGCTACCGATGGGTCCCATGCCTCACATCCCCCCACCAAAGCCCCATACACTCACCTGCACTGGGCATCTGCTGAGCCCCTTTGCGTTCTGGTTGAGGTCTCTGCTGCCCGGCAGGCACTGTCTGGAGCCTCGGGCCTTCCTGGAACCAGGGTCTAAGAAGGCAGGGTGGTCAGGGACTCAATTAGAGAAAAACGGTCCCCCAGATGTGCATGTGAGTATGTGCTGCCTTCAGCTGCCTGCAGGGAGACATGATGGCCCCAGAGAGCTGTCACTTGATAGAGATAATGGGGTGTGCCGCTTGTCGCTGAGAATTAATTCCAGGGTGAAGCCCTTTGTTCAGTGAAGGATCTACCAGAGCTCTCAAGCTAGAGCTCAGGCTTGTGGGCCTGCTCAGAGCCTGACCATCACCTCATCCTACCCAGAGCCTTACCTGGCAAGAGTTGGTGGCTGACCTCAGGTGGGGCCTGGGTCTGCTGACCCATAATCTAATCCCCTGGCTGCACCAGGCTAATTTTTTTTTTCCTTGAGGCAGGATCTGACTAAATTGCTAAACTGCCCAGGCTAGGCTTGAATTTGCAGTCTTTCTGCCTCACAAAGTACTAATATTATAGCCCCGGCCACCATGCCCAGCTCAGGCTATTTTTTTTCCACGTGCTCGTTTTGGCAGCACATATGCTAACTTTTTTCAGAGCTGGGGATGAACCCCAGGATGTTGCACATGCTAGGCAAGTGCTCTACCACTGAGTTGCACCCCCAGACCCAGGGTAATTTAATTTTGCTTGTAGATTATAAACATGATGTCCTAGTCTTTCAAGTGAGAGGCCATAAACCCTATTAAATACATATAATAAAGTATATTAATCCCTGTACTATAAAGTATTTTAATCCCTGGTATGGGAGGAGGTTTCCCAAGGACATCTCAAAGTGCAAGGGAGGAAGGCATTGGAGAGACAAGGCCCTGAGAAGAAGGACTGGAGCTTAGAGTGTGGGGAAAACAGACGCAGTCTAACCTGGAAACGAGCAAGGACTTCCTTGGAGCACCATCTCCATCCTGTGGCCATTGGGGGAATTGCAACCAGGAACTTGGACCCGTTTCCACCTCCTCACAATTTCGATTTAGTTAGGACCCTTCATTGCAACCCTTGGCCTTCACACAGCGGGCTTCTTAGCACTCAGCCAAAGCCAAAGCGGGCTTCTTAGCACTCAGCCAAAGCCCTGGGGCAGCCCTGTGCTGGAGATGCGCCACAGTCCCCACTGCTTCCTGCCCCAGGCACGTAATGTGTACAGGCAAGCCCTGTGTACAGTCAGCCGGCATGAGATCAGGCCTGCTTACTCCCAGCCTCCCGGGGGCAGCCCCCCAGCTCCTGGTCTCAGGTATCATCGCACCAAGGGGTGACCCTGGACCAGCCCACCTGGGTCAAGTGAGTCTTCATGGCATCTGCCAGCTTGGCCACCAGCCGTCCTCGGATAGAGTCTGGCTCCTTCTGGGGAGGAGAATAATGGGAGGAGGGTGAGGGAGGCCAGGGCTTTGTAGTCCTCAGAGAAAAAAAACAGGAAAGAAAAGGGGGGAGGGGACTTTTTCTCCCTTCTCTTCTACTCTGTCCCTTTGCCTTTCCCAGGTTCTGCCACTGACTGCCCAGCACTGCAAACAGAGACCATCTCTTCCCCACAATAGTATCCCATACTGGCCACACCGTGTGCAGAGCCTGTTTGATGAGTGAATGAATGATTGTAGAGTAGAGACAGGAGCAAAGACAGGAATGTCAGCTAGAAGTCTTCTAAAGGAGGGATGGCAGGGAAGAATCAGAGTCTGATACAGAAGATCTCACCTGGCAATGGGCCAGTGCATCCATATAGTACTTCAAGGCCTGGTCGTACTGCCCCAGTCTGGCTGCAGAAGCCCCGAGCCCCTCGCAGGCCTGCCACTGCCCCTTCATGTCCCCTGGGGAAGAGAGCCTGAAAGGTCCCCTCACAGCTCCTGATCCCATGACCCCCCCCCCCCGACTTCCCCACCTACCCTCACCGGCCCCAAGGATCCTGTCTTTGCCAACCCCCAGTCCCATGCCAACACCCACACCCTTACCAGTGTCCCGGGCAGCCTGCAGTGCATGCAGGTAGTTGTCTCTGGCCACCCTGTGGTCCCCCAGCTGACTCAGTGCGAATGCCAGGCTAGCAAAGCTGCGGCCCTGCTCCCACCGCTGCCCCACAGAGCCTAAGGACAGAGGGCACCCATGCTAAAGCAGGCTGTGGTTGCTGGGAGGGAGTCCAGGAGCCCTGGTACCCAGCCTCGGCTCACATCCATACGGGCCACAGAGCCCTGGCCTCTCCTGCAGGGTTCACCTCACCCGGAGTTTTGGCCCAGCTGCTGTTTTAAGCCACGCAGCAACCTTGTGAGGTAGGTGAGGAAGGTGCCAATGGCTCCGTTTGTGTATGTGGGGAAGGAAACTGAAATTCAGAGAGGCTGTGATTTGCTGAGGGTCACACAGAGGGGCTGAGCTCCACACCAGGCCTCCTCTCCCTGAACCACTGCTGCCTCCCGTCTGACTCTCCCACACCCTGCATTCCCAGCCTCACCCCTAGATCTGGGCTTCCAGGCCTGGAACCCCTATGGGAACTCCCTCTTAACCGTCAGTCCAGTTCTCGGCCTCAGGCACCCACCATGCAGATCCGCAGCCTTCTGGTGAAAGTCACAAGCTTCTCGATAGTTGCCAAGGGCATTGTGGGCCATCCCGAGGTTCCTTAGCACGGTGGCCTGCTCTCCTGGTTGCTGGCACAGGGGCAGGGCCCTCAGGAAAGCCTCCACGGCCAGAGGGAACAGCTGGAGCTGGGAGTAGCCCAGGCCTAGGTCATTATACAGATGGCCTAGAGAGCACAGGGGTCACTGGTAGCCAGATGAGTCATAAGTAAGGCTATAGGGTGCCATCCCACCCACTCCTCCAGGGTCGCCCAGCCCCTCCCACAGAACTCAGTCCTCCCCCCCCCAACCCCCGCCAACTTCTCTGCTCGAGATCTCACCCAGCGGTCCCTGCTCAGCGCTCATCTCAGCAAGTCTCCGGCTCTCCTCCAGCGCCTGCACCACCTCACCCAGCCCGTGCTGCCTACTCTTCAGCATACACCTGGCTGCAGCCCCTAATGCGAGGGCTGCGGCCCGGGGCTGCCGTGCTCGGGTGTAGGCCTGGCTTGCCTTCTGCAGGCAGTGTACTGCTTGTTCAGGCCGCCCCAGGTCCTGGTAGCAGGCTCCCATTTTTGCCTGGGCTTCTCCCTGGTCACCCTGTGGCTGGTAATGGCCCAGGGCCTTGTGGTACCAGTCCAAAGCTTGGGGCAGGTCACCGAGGGCATGGTAGGCCAAAGCCACATTGAAACACTGGTCACCATGACACCTGCCCTGGGCCTTCTCTTCAGGCTGGGCTCGCAGGAGCAACTCAAGGCCTCTGGCTGGGTCCCCAGTCTCCACATAGGCAGCCCCCAAGTTGAAGGCACAGGCCCGAAGGACAGAGGTATCTCTGGCTCGTGGGGCCTCTGAGGCCAACAGGAAGGCCTTCTGGAAGCTGACCATGGCCTCATGGCTCTGACCAGCCTGGAGGGCCCCGTGGCCGGCCTTGGTGAGGGCTTGAATGCTGGCCTCTCGCTGCAGCCGTTTTCTTTTCTTCTTTTTCTTCTGGCAGTTGGAGGGCTGGGGCTCCTGCGGTGTCTCCTCATGGCTGGGGGAAGACATAGGGCTGACAATGGGGAACAGAGGGGTCAGTAAGTCAGCCTTGCTCCCCCACAGCAGGGTCCCTTAGGGGCAATTGAGCCCTATTCCTGTCCCAATGTGACCTCGGGGCCCCAAGGATTTCTCTCCAACACTCAGCTTCATCAGTCCTATCAGGCAGGGCATCCACCCTCACTCTAATGTTCTTTCCTTAGGTCTCCTTTGGGACTCAGGTCAAGTTAGTTTTCTTCCAAAAGCTCTCATCCCTCAGCCAAACTTGGACTTCTTTGGTGCCCCCTGCAAACCTTACATCTGTGTCCTTTCTGGCATTTATCACATGGTTAGAGATGCTTTGTCTTCCCCATTAGATGTGAAACAACTTGAAGGCACATAGTAAATTCTAAATAAAAGTTTATTCATGGGGTCGAGGGTGTGCTTGTGTGTTAACAGACAATGGAACACCTGTTGGTAACCTGCTGGAACGTGTGACCAGGGAGAGAGGAAATCCCAGTCCCGCAGCAGAGCCTGCTCCCACCTAACCCTCCAGTGGGAGCATTCTGGAGGAAGACCCTGGAGGACAGCCCAATACTGCAAGTACTGAGATCTATGAAGGCTACAAAACCCATGACATGGGGGCGATTAAAGAAGACAACGCAGGAGGCTCACTAGCTGGTGACGCGACAGGGCCTCCCACAAACTCCTGAGAATATGTTTGTTGCTAGAATGGCCATCATAGCCTGTACACTGTCTCAACTGCTGCAATTACAAAAACAAAAGGGGGAAATGGTGGGGACCATAAATTATAAATTGAGGCTAGGGCCTGGAGGAGGCCTTACTGAATGCCTTAATAGTCCCCTCATGCTGTAACAGTCCAGGGCAAGATCCTCATTAGCTTACTATCACCACTGACCTCTGAATCATCCAGTGATCCTCATCAACATAAAATCCTTCTTAGCAAGCGGGGCATGGTGGGGCATGCCTGTAATGGAGCAGGAGAATTGTTACGAGTTCAAGACCAGCCTGGGCTACAAAGTGAGCTCGAGGACAGCCTGAACTGCATAGTGAGACCCTGTCTCAAAAACACCAAAAAAAAAAAAAAGTCCTTCTTAGCATAAGACTACCACTGCCCTCAGGGTAATCTGATAATCTCCTCACCATTTTCCTTAACATAAAGGTGATCAATAAATACCAAGTTTCTGGCTGCCTTGTAGCCTTTTGTTTCCTATGAACAACTGGTCATCCCAGGTCCCTGCTGCACTGCCAAAAAAAAAGTTTATTAAACCAGATCTGATGGTGCACACCTGTAATCCCAGCATGCTGGGAGGCTGAGGCAGGAGGATTGCAAGTTCGAGCTCTAGGCAATTTAGCAAGACCTTATCTCAAAATAAAAAACAAAAAAGGCCTGGGAATGCAGCTCAGGGTAAAGGCCTTGGGTTTAATCCCCTCTCTGTCTCTCTCTCTCTCTCATACACACACACACACACACACACACACACACACACGATTAGAATGAGGGTATAGTTTAGTAACGAAGCATTTGCCTAGCATGCATGTGGCCCTGGGCTTAACTAGCACCAAAATAATTAAAAAGTTAAAGTGGTAAGTTTTATGTTATATCTACTTTACCACATTTTTTTGTTTGTTTGTTTATGGAGTGAACATAGAATGAACAGCACACAGGGCCTCCCCGCCTCACCTCCTTACGCTGCCCCCTGTGGGCTGCCCACAGTCCCACATGCTGCAGGCCTGTGAGTTCCTGCATGTGCAGCGCCACACTAGGCTGTGGGGACCAGAGCTGAAGAGGCTGCTGAATGTGCAAGGAGCCAAGCTCCAGGAATGGATTCTGCCGCAGCATTTACCCCACCCACCCACCTCAAGGAGCTTCTGTCTCCCCATCTCCTCTGCTGTCTGCTGGCTGGTTCTGGACCCCCCAACATCTTGTGTGGGTCTCCAGAGCCCCCCAAAACCCAAATACCTTCATCTTATCAGCACATGCATCTTGCTCACAACTTTCCCCTGGAAAGGCAAAGCCCTTTGCGGAACTCTCCTCCCAGGAGGCAGAAAAAGGAGTGGAAGAAACCCAGCCCTGGTCACGTGGCCCCTCTCCTCTCCCTTCTTGCTCTTTTTTTAGCAGAGTCAGGCAAAAGTGACACATTCTCTTTTCAGAAAAATTCACTTTCCTTTAAGAACACCCAGAACTCCTGACTTTTCAAGGGAACTCCTGGTCCCCCACCCAGTCTTGGGGGCTACCTCTGCAGGACAACTTACCTACCTCCTTGGTTTTCTCTGCAGCTGGTTTTCTGGAATGGTTCCCCCGGCTTGAGTTACTTCCCCACAACTCTTAGCTCAGAGCCCCCAGGGTTACCGGACAACCAGGTACCACCCTCCCACTACTAGGGAACTGTTTGAATGACAGCTCAGGTGACCTATCTTAGTGCTGAGCTCTGATGGCACTTGGCACAGACAGCTGACTGGCCTACCCTGCCTGCCCCGCTGCAACCTGACCCTTTGGGTGCCTTACTTCAAGGAGTGGCTCAATGCTTCACAGGCCCTTCACTTCTCAGAGGAAGTGTCTGAGGCTCAGAGAGTGGTTGTGACTTGGCTGAGTCACATGGCAGTCATGTATCTGGGATTAGATCCCAGGTTTTCTTTTTCTTTTTTGTGGTTCTGGAAGATTGAGCCCCTACGCTTCATCCCCAGCCCTTTTTATTTTTTGAGACAGGATCTTGTTAAATCATTAAGTTACCCAGGCTAGGACTGAATTTGCAATCCTCCTGCCTCAGCCTCCCAGAGTGCTGGGATTATAGGTATTGAAGGAATCCAACCACCATCATCCTGATCAGAGATGCCTTTTTACCTCTACCACCACACCTGCACCTGGGGATACATAACACGCTCAACCCTGCTACTGATAGTAGCCACGACTTCCTGCGTTTTCCCAAGTCTCGGCCTCGGACAACCATTACCACTTGTGCTCTCTCAAGCCTTGTTCTTGGCAGGTAGCCACGACCCCCTCTCACTGAGCTCCCCAGTCCCATGACCCTAGAGAAGACCCCACAGCCTGTGTGAGAGTAGCTGGTCTGGTCTCTACTGCCAGAGCAGTCCGCCTCAGGTTTGTTCTGCAATAAAACTCTCCTGTTGAGCTCATATATCTGTTTCTTCTCTTTTTCCTAACAGGTATGCACTGTCATGCTGGGATAGACCCCAGGTTTTCTGATTTAAGGTACTCAGCCAAGGGCCCTACCCACTAACACAATGATTGCAAAATATAATGGGGCTTGGGCTTTCATAGAGGTTAACCCTTCATACACACACACACCCTCCCCTCCCCCCTTTCATACGGTGCCTCTGTGTGGTAGTTTCACATTTGGGACCAGGGTAAAAGGCTGATGGTCAGAAAAGGCCTGGAGATCAAGAGAGCCTCCTTGCCCCCGTGCCTCTTATCTCAGCTCCATGATTAGCAACCTCCAGATTCTGCTTAATGAGAGGTCAACAGGCCTCAGGAGCACCTAATGACCCAACCTGCCAAGGATAGCTACACCAGAAAGCAAATGTCCTCATTTACCCTGAGAAAGGCCTTTTAGTTCGTTTGTTTTTGTGGTACTGGGAATACCATGGAGCTATGTTCCCAGCCCTCTTTAATTATTTTGAGAAAGGGTCTCCCTGAATTGCCCAGGCTGGCCTTGAACTTGCAGTCCTCCTACCTTAGCCTCCCCAGTAGTTGGGATTACACCGCTACGGTATCCAGCAAAAAGGTCTCTTAAGTAGAGGCCTTTGCCAGAAATAAATGTATGAGGATGTAGTTGGACTACCTCCATTTCCCCTGCAGCCTTGGCTGCCTGCCTGCTGTGCAGAGGCATGGTGCCCCTTTGGGAGCTGCTGGCTGCAGCTTCTGCCCTCGGGCAGAGTCCTCAGAATGGGTCCATAGCCTGGCCGCTTTGTGGGCTTCCCTGTAAGGACAGAGGGTGATTTGGGGAGGGCAATAACCTCCGGATGAATGATCCAATGACCATTTCTGACTCATTTCTTTTTTATTCTGGGCTATATCCACCACATCTCTTGCAACTCCCTCTTCATTTACACTGTGTCTTGGCTTGCACCTTCCATGACAGTTCCTTTTCCAGCTCCTGTCTGGGTCCTCTGTCTACCTGCTAAAGGCTAGTGCACTCCAGCGCTCCGCCCTTTGTTATTTTCTCTTATTTCATGTCCTTTTCCAAGAACATTTCATCTTTCCTCTGGGTTTAACACCGCTGATAAGCCAATATGTCTAAATGTACACCTGTGGACTTCACTCACCCAAGTAAAACTCATCTTTCTCCCATTTCTTAGTGTTATTAGTTGTCTTAGTTACTTTTCTCATTGCTGAAAAGTTAAAGGAGGAAACATTTACTTTGGCTCACAGTTTATAGTGGTTTCAATTCACAGCTGATTGGCCCCACGGCAGGCAGGCATAGCAGAGTGCATCACAGAGCAGACAGGCAGAAGGCAGCAAGCAGCAAGCAACAAGTGACCAGCAACAAACACAACAGCTCTTTCTGTCCCTTACATCTCATCCAGGTTACCCTTAGGGCGGGTAGCACTCACACTCTTAAGCCTAGTGTCAGTGAATCAATCCCAGCATCACAATCTTGATCTCAGCAGCACACACCCTAAATCCAGACATCTCCAAAAAGCCCCACCTATGAATGCATGAGTTTTGGGGGAACACCTGGATACAAGCCATAACATTAGTAGGATAGTCAGTAAGTTAGAAACCCAGGAGAAGCTTTGGCTCCTCCTTCTCTAGCCTACCTTTGAAGTTTCTCTCCCATCTACCCCCTTTTCTGCAGGCTCATGGCCTTGGAGGTGGTACTATCTGTATATAGTGGTAAGAATTCAAACTGAGGGGGCTGGGGATTTAGCTCTGCGGCAAAAGCGCCTGCCTGGCAAGCGCAAGGTCGTGAGTTCGGTTCCCGGTATCGGAGAAAAACCAAAAAAAAAAAAAAGAATTCAAACTGAATGTGGTGATGTACACCTGTAGTCCCAGCACTTGGGAGGCTGAAGCAGGAAGATTGCCATGAGTTTGAGGCCAGCCTGAACTACATAGCAAGACTGTTTAAAAAAAAAAAAAAGCCAAGTATCAGTCAGTGTTTGTCAGTGTTTTACTAGAGAAACAGATACAATACAAGATATACAAATGTATAAGAAATTACAAAATCAGGACTACACCTGCTCCAGCCCTGCAGGGTGGAGGGAAGGCTTGGTGGGTGCAGTCCAAGGCAGAGCCCTGGACAGGGAGGAGGACAGGCATTCAGAAAAGCCGGGGCTGGGCTGAACTGAGGCCCGTGGACGACACCACCACCACCACCACCACCACTACCCCCTCCCATGCAAGCATCAGGCTCCCCGCCAGTCACCATCCTCAAATCCCTGCTTGCCCGCAGCCTGGCGTCATGGAGCTGTATCTCTTGTGAGTGCTGGCAGCGTGTGCACCAGGGCGTGATCCTAGAGGCCTCACTGGGCCACGGCATGCGAGACTTGGGCATGGGACAAGGCCCCATGCTGCTTTCTGACTGACCAAGGTGCAGTGAAATTTGCAGCAGACATGGGGGGGTGGTCCTGAAGATCCCTAGGGAGCAGCGGGTGAGGGAGGGGAGCAGAAAACACCTGGAGAAGAAGTGGGAAAAAGGTACCCCAAGTTCCTACTGTATCAAAATCTTGGGAACTGTGGGTACTGTGGCCTTGGACTGCAAAGGAAACATGGCTTACACCACCTCTACTGGGGGCATTATTAAGATGATTAGCGGCATCGGGGATTCGCCCTGTGTAGGGTCCGGGGGCTAAGCCAACAATAGCATCGGAGCAGTGTCAACCACGGGGTATGGGGAGAGCACCCTGAAGGTGAATCTGGCCGGGCTTATGCTATTCCACCTGGAGCAAGGAAAGACGGTGGAACAGGCTGCAGAGCTGGCATTGAGCTACATGAAGTCGAGGCTCAAAGCCTTGGGGGGCCTCATCCTGATCAGCAGCGCAGGGGACTGGGTAGCAAAGTGGACCTCAACCTCCATGCCCTGGGCAGCCGTGAAGGGTGGCAAGGTGCACGCTGGCATGGACGTCGGTGACACCACTGTCACAGACCTGTGCTGAGCTGGAGATGGCGCCTACAGGGCTGGCATAGCTTAATCAATTAGATATTGAAAGGAAAAAAAAAAAAATTACAAGATCAGCTTACAATGGCCAGCCACAGAGTTGGATGAGGAAGTGTGGAGAGGATGTCTGCATACTAGAGACTGAAGATTTCAGTCCAAGGTCTGGAATTCACTGCAGTGTCCCATGCAAGTCTGTATCAGGAGGACAATGGATCTACAACGGAAGGCTAAGGACTCTACAACAGAAAGCTGAAAAGTCCACGCCAGAAGGCTGAAGGATCTGAGGTGGAAGCCAAAGAGTCTGTGCTAGAAGCTAGGAGATGAAGTCCAAGATGAAGGTGAAGACTGGAACTCCTCCAAAGAACAGAAGCAAGTCCATCCTTCCTCATTTTCCCTTTATACCATACAGGTGCCCACCACCCTAGGTTGGGTCCTCTACACCCTAGGGTATAGAATTACTGAGCCTATTTAGTTAAGCTTCTAAACTTCTCAAATTGACACAATCATTTAACCATTACAAGCCCTCCTGAGGTCCAAAGTGAGACCTTGTCTCAAATAAACAAACAAACAAATTCAAACTTGGAGTGGAACTATCTAGTTTTTATTTTTTTATTTATTTATTTACTTAGTCTTTTTGAGACAGGATCTCGCTATGCAGTTCAGGCTGGCTCTGAGCTCACTTTGTAGCCTAGGCCGGCCTTGAACTCTCAACAATCCTCCTGCCTCAGCATCCCAAGTGCTGGGATTACAAGCATGTGCCACCATGCCTAGCTTAGGGACTATCTAGTTTAAATCCTGCCTCTACCAGTTATTAGCTGTGTGATATTTCTAAGCCTTGGTTTCTCATCTCTATTGTGAAGATTAAATAAGATGATACTTGTAAGATAATGCTAAATATAGTATCCATTATATAATAAGCAGTCAGTGCACACTGATGTTATGTTGGTACATGTCTTAGTTATTTTCTCATTGCTGGGACAAAATATCCAATACTCACAAGTTAAAGAAAAGGTTTATTTTAACTCACAGTGTGTAGAGGTTTCAGTCCATAGTCAGCTGTCTCCAAGGCAGGGCAGCATGGCAGAGGGGTATGGCAGAGGAGAAACAATCTATAGCATGCCAGGTAGGAAGCAGAGCAGCATCAAGGAGAAGGATCTATATATATACCCTTCCAGGCCAAGCCTATAGTGACCTACCTCTTCCCTACCTGACCCTTTCAAGCCCAGACTCTTGCAAAGCAAAAGAGGGGATAACTTATTTAGGAACTTCCTTTCCAGCTGGGCCAGGGAATTTCTGTACATCTAAGGGCATAGCTTCCTGACTCATTATGCAACCCTTACGTTATAATTTGTGTCTAGGTGTCCCCCAAAAGCCCCATGTGGTCATAGAGAGGCTTTTCAGAGGTGGCTGGATCTAGAGTGTGTGATGCTGGGTTAAGTGTGTGATGCTAGGATCAAAGGTGTGTGACTACTAAATTGGCCCATTGATTGGTTTGGCATAAATCTGGGTGTGAATAAAGGGTAAGTCCACTCTGGGCAGGTAGCCTGGATAGAATATAAGGGACAGAAAGAGAGCTGCTGTCATCGCTGGCTGCTTCACTGCTTCACTACTTGCTGCCTTGCTGCCTTCTGCCTTTCATGAATGGTTTCTCCTCTGCCATACCACCCTGCCTTGAAGCCAGCCAACTATGAATTGAAAATTCTACAAACTGTGAACTGCAATAAACCTCTGCTCCTTTAACTTTGGGTGTCAGGTATTTTGTCTCAGCAGTGATAAAAGTAACTAAGACACTTTCTTCTCAGGTCTTATATTCCCAAAGGCCTTCCCAGGAAGCAAGGAAGGGGAAACTTGTTACTAGGAGCCAACAATATCTAGAGTGTCTCTAATTCCCTTAGCTGGTTAGAGGCCAGGGGAATCCATTTGGGTCTTTAAGGGAATACCCTCTCTCTTCAAACTTTATTTTGTTTGCCTAGTTTTGTCTCAGCCCCAAATCTTCTCTGTTCCTCTACAGGCTGTACACTTAGCTATTTTCTGTTTTCTGCTCCTTCACATTTTCTCCTGATGCTGAGAGCCTAACTGCCTATTTGTATGGGAAGGATAAAGAGAGAAAGAGTCAAAGAAGGAAACCTATCAAAAAATGTACCTGAAAATATTTTTCAGCAGTTGTTGTTGAATTATTTATTAGTTCAGATCTTATTATTTCTCATCTATACGACTGCCATAGGCTCCCATATGGTCCCTATCCCCAGCCTCATCCCCCTCCAAGCCCCTGCTGTTAAGAGGGTTCCTTCCAAGACAGAAATCTTACTCTGACCTAATGTCTAGTGTTCCTTGGCTGCTGACTGCTTGCCTGACTTCATCTCGGTACCTCAGGTCAGGGCCTGACTGGGCCCTGAGACTCCCCCTTCCTGCTTCTTCCTGGCTGAACTTTGTTCTCCCCTAAAACTGGGCTAAGTTTTTTGTTTTGTTTGTTTTGTTTTGTTTTTGGTACCAGGAATCAAACTCAGGACCTTGTGCTTGCCCAGCAGGTGCTGGGCCACTGAGCTATATCCCTGGCCCAAGTTTAATTTTCTGAAGCCAATGCCTTGCTCTTGCATAGGGTGTTCCCACAGACCCCTAATTTATTTGACTATACGTCTAGGACTTGCGCCGGAACAGTAAGCTTCTTAGAGCGTTAACATGGTACCTGGAATCAAACTCCGGTCCTCACACTTGCCAGGCAAGCGCTGTGCACTGAGCTACATCCCCGGCTCCAACAGTGTTTATGTATCTCTGCATCCATCACTTGGTTTAGTGCACAGTACCACGCAGGCCGAAAAGAGAAAGCGACCTGGGAACACTATGGAAGCTGAGCAGGGTAAAAGGGTTAGTTAGGGGAAAGGATAAAGGCAAGGGCTGCCCAAAATGAGCCGGTTTGGCAAAGGAGCCTTGGAGGAACAGTAAATCAAGTCGCTACCTGATTTGGGGTATACAGTGTGAGTGGGAGCCCCTTCCTAGCCTCCGGTGACCCTTCCCAGCTTTGGTGCTCTCTCCTCCCCACCCGGGACGCAGGCCTCCGTGGCCCAGAACTACAACCCCCAGGGTCCCCTGCGCTGCGGGCCGGAAGTAGCCTTTCCCGGGGTGGCGACGGCGAGGGGCGGCGGCCCAGCGGCGGGAGATTCAAACCTGGAAGGAGCAACATGGAAGGCGGAGGAGCGCGCCGGGGTCGGGAGGCCTGTGAGTCAGAAGGGCCCGATGGGGGGGTGCTCTGTCGGGATGCGGCTGGAGGGGGTTTGGCAACATGGGCGGCGGGGCGGGGGGCTGCTCGGTGCAGAGGGAATGGGAGCCCCGGTGCCCGTGGGCAGGACCACGGTCCCGCTTCGCACCTTTTGAACAGTTCTCTCCCTGTTTCCAGATTCTGGGGCTCCAGGGTTGGGAGATTGTGCCAGGTTGCCTAGATGACCCTTTAAACTCGGGGTTACTTATAGTTACCAAGCGCTGTCCAGGAGCAGGACTCTGAAAGGACCTCGGGAACGCTTGCACTTTGAGATGCCCCTTGGAAGCTGGCCGTGGGTGCGCACTATTGTAATCTCAGCACGCGGGGTGGTGGGGGCTGAGGCAAGAGGATCGCTTGAGTTCGAGGCCAGCTGAGCTATGTAGTGAGCTCAAGGCCAGCTGAACTATAAAGCAAGACCCTGTCTCAAAAACCAAAAACAAACAAAAGAGGTACCGAACCAACTGGGTGTGGTGGATAAGCCTGTGAGCCCATCACCCTGGGAGCCTGAGGCAGGAAGATGGACATTTCAAGGCCAGCCTAAGCAAATAACAAGTCAGGTAGACCCTGTCTGAAAATAAAATAAACCAGGGCTGGTGACACCCACCTGTAATCCCAACATTCCAGAGGCTGAGGCGGTAGGAGTGCTATAAATTCCAGGCCAGCTTGGGCTCCATAGTGAGTTCAAGGCCAGGCTGAACTATCTATAGCAAGACCCTGTCTCAAAAAACAAAAAAAAAGGGGGCCTGGGGAGGATAGAGTTCAGTGTGAAGTCCCTGGGTTCAATCTACCACCACAAACAAAAATGGTAAAACACAAGACAGTTCCTTTCAAACCGCAGGGAGCCAGGATTGCATGAATGGAAATGCAGAGTCCCTAGCTCCGCCCAACAGCTTCAGCTCCAATAGGACTGTGTTCCAGCCTGTTGTCTGCATTTATAGCTAGCAGCACAGTGCTTGGAGAAAGGGAGAGGGAAGGGCTGGAGATGGAAGAATGGGAAGGCAGAAAGGTTTCTATCCAGTCATCCCGAGTTAAATGCAAAACCTGATCCTTTTCCTTCACCCCTCCTCCTACGTTAGGATTCAAAGAGCAAAGTCCATATCCACCCACCTCTCGAAGGAAAGCTAGTTCCAGCCAAGGATAGGCAGGAAGAATATTTTGTGGGTTTTTTTTTTTTTTTTTTTTTCAAGAGGCACTGTGTGTGTACAAAGTCCCGCCCATCTCAGTCCATAACTGTGAGGTGAGGTCACTCACTTACTGGTTTATTTTCCATGCTTAACAACCAATACTTGTTCCCTGTACACCTCAGAGGAACCCGTGGATTTCCTGCAGTTGGCCAGTGCTTTCAAATCCGTACTTGAAAATGTGTGCACATGTGTTTTAACTTTCTTAACTGCCAATTCAAATAAGCCCTGCCCCTCTCCAAATCCTACTGCAGGATATGCAGTATGTGGAAATAGGATTAAAAAGTGAGAGCCACACTTTAAGGGCTGAGTCAAGGACAGATTGAGCAAGCTCTGTTTCTGCAGGCCACCTAAGTTCCTAAATTGTTTTCTTTTCTTTGCTTTTTTTTTTTGGTCTTTTGAAGACAGGGTCTCACATGTAGTTCAGGCTGGCCTTGAGTTCACTTTGTAGCCCAGGCTGATCTCCAACTTGCAACAATCCTGCCTCAGCCTCTGAAGTGCTGGGATTACAGGTGTGCACCACCACACCAGCTCTAAATTGTTTTCTTTTGTGTGTGCAGCTTTCTCTCACTGTGAGATTTGATATTATCTTCCATAAGGAGAGGTGGAGGAGAGGAAGACAGAGAAAAATAAAGGAACCATGGCTAGGGAAGAGTAAGGAATAGGGAAGAAAAGGAGTCCCTATTTTTTTTCTTTTTCTTTTTTTCTTTTTTTTTTTGGTGCTGGGAATTGAACTCAGGACCCTGCATTAGCCAGGCAGGTACTCCTGCCGCTGAGCTATATCCCCGGCCAAGTCCCTATTCTTGAGTTTGGAGGTCAGAGTTGTCTGCATCTTATTTAGCTTTGAAGATTATTTTCCTTCTCTGGTGACTTACACCAAAAAAATAAATAAATAAAGATACCTTTGTGTAATAAAGATACCTTTAAAAAAAATTCTTTGTCCTTCCACTTCATCCCAAGTGCTGTGGTCCCCTCTGTTGGGCTTCCTTTCCCCCATTTCTATCTGTTCTGGGCTGGGAGGTACTGAGGATTGAACCCAAAGCTTCACACATGCTACCCAAGGGCTCTACCACTGAGTTACTTCTTCATCTGTTTTGTTTT